CTTTCATCTTGCATATTAATCCAAACTGGTCTGCTTTTAGCTAAGCTGACTTGCAATGTCCAGCACAACATAGCAAATTACTAGAGAAATAGTGAAAACTTCTGGAGCAGGTGTAAAACAAGCAAACAAATCAAAGCAGTGGTTTGGATCTGTTGGGAAAAGTAAAAGCACAGCTTCCCAAATATACAACATATGAAATCCATAAACTGCAATAGAGAACTAAAGAATTCCTATCCTAAAAATACCTGTTAAAAAGTTGCTTTACAAAAGGAAGCAGTGCTTTTTGTATTGGACAACTTGCAGTAAGTTTTAATCTTTTAATCCAGAGAGACTGGAAATATCAGTGTAACAAAATAAACATATTTCTTGATTTTCTTTCTCCTCAAGCAGCAAGAAATTCAGCATTCTGATTGCAAATGCCCTTAGATGAACCCTGACTGCACCACACGCAGTGGTGGTGGGTAGGTAGCGAAGTCCATGATGGTTTATTTTTCCTTGGGGTTTCCATCCCCAGGAAGTGAAAACTCCACTGATGAAACAGAAGAATTTTTCAAGGGGAAATGAATGACGAGGCCTTAGGCAGGGCTCTCATGCAGGGAAGGATATTTCAGCAGCTCTTGAGCTGTGAAGTACCATGGCCAGCTGGCAGGTGGAGTTGTTCACCAGCACTGAAACCAGAGCTTGGGAAGTGAAGGTCTTGCTTAGCCCTGCAGGTGGTTAAAGATTTGTGCCTTCAGCACAAACATATGGACAGGTACGTGCCATTGGCATCCACTGGCCATGTCCCATGTAACTCCCTGTGGTGGATGGGGCCACTTGCTGCCAGCCCACGACAGCACCCTGAGTCTAGGAGCTGCTACTAGCTCATCGCTCCCTCTGGAGACAATTTGCTTTTGCAGTGGGAAAGGTAAATGATGATGGTGATGACAATGATGATTATGATGGTGATGCTCATGGCAGTTGCTTTGTTTCTTTACCTGACTACTTACTTCTGCCTTCTGTTTTGCGGGCTCTGTTGAACACAGCAGTCTACACATCTATATTCTTCTGATTGCCCTTAAGCTTACAGGCTGTTTAGAAGGGTGAAGAGCTTCAGAGAAGCTGGCGGTGTTTCTCTCATCAGCTGGCAGTCATCAATGGAATGCTTTAACCACAACATAATGGAGCAGCTTGGACCGTAAACAAGCTGTCTGGATACCTACAAGTTATTCTCAAAGAAAACTGTTTTCTTTGCATCTGTGAACAACTTGCTGTTCTTTCAATCTTCAGAGCACTGAAATCATGACATTTTCACCAAAGCGTCCACCAGAGTCTGCCCTGAGAAATGGAATCCCTCTCACCCCAAGCAGGCCCTGTTTCTTTTTCCCAGTACAACACACACACTGGCCACAAGAACTACAAAGCTTGTGGCTTTAGCACATTGCCCCCAAATCAATGACTGCAGGGAGATGAAAAGAACGAGCTTCTGACTGCTCCAACCAAGAGCCTTATTTCCACCTGTTAGACAACATCTCTGTCTATCAGCACAGTGCAACACAGAAGAGCAGACACACTATATTTAAATCAATCAAAACTTTATTGAAATTGAATTCAGCAAAAATGAAACTATATAAAGGAAGAACTACATATATGAAGAAATAAGTCTCTATATCGCCTATTCTCCAAGATCCATCTAAGTCTGTCCTGAGAAACAGAAGCACTCATAAATAAATGGGATGGTATTGTTCTGGACTGAGTTCCATTCTGCAGGTTGGGCACATGTGCATAGCCTCAAGGGCAATAGGGATGCATCTGCTGCAGAAGACATGGCCACACATGGTTGACATAATCTGTCGTCCACGTTGCATAATCTGGAAGAAAGAAAATCACAACATGTATTGGGAGGAAAGAATTTGAGTTTGCTGCTCTATTGGCACCAGGCAAAGGAGACTTAGAGCATCTGGAATCAGTTAGAATAATGAGAGACCCACAGATCTGCGAGTGCCATCTTGGCAAGGGCTTCTCCCTCTACATTCACCACCAAGGAGTGACTTGTGGAGAATCACAGCAAGGGCTGTGCTTCCAGCCAGCTGCCCACAGCATCCCACATCATCCAACTGACTTGTGCAGCTCCCCTTCTGGCTTCCTCCTCCCACAAAGCAGAACGGACAACAACAGGTGGATCCTTACCTCTGAGTAAAATTCCATGCAAATGGGACACCTAATGACAACTCCTTGCTGAGCACCAGTGGAAGCAGAGCTAGAAAGAACATGCAGCTGATAAGATCACCACACTTCAATGGTTATTGATACATAAAATCTCACATAATCATGCAACTGCACTGACTAGCCATGACACATTTCCTTTGAAGAACCCTGCTGTCTTTAAGTCTCTGTTTACTGCATTTAATGAGGATTTGGGGTCTCCCTGCCCTGAGGGAGAGGGTGTCTTGGTTTTCACCAGGACAAAGGTGCTGCCAGTCACCCTGCTCTGGGATTTGAAGAAACAGCAGTCTCTAGCACTGGCCAGTTTGTGTATGGCAACCTTGACTTCCAGCAGGTCATCAGTCACAGCAGCTTTATAACTACAGCACCCAGCTGTCCTCTGGCAACTCTTCACCCCAGAATATTCATTCCAGGAGCCAGTTCTAAACTACAAAGTAACATGGCTCTGGCAAGATCCAGCCCTGGGAAGGAGCCTTTGGTCAATTTTAAATGCTGCAGCACTGAGCTGTTTCAGCCTTTACCGAAACAGATCAGTTACATTCAGTCACTGAGAAACTTGAGACTGAAGGAACAAAATATTCCTTTTTTATATAAACCAAGGGCTGGGATTTGTTCACCTACAGACTTAACAGCCAAAACTTAAACATCTACAAATTCATTGGCAAAATGCATCATGGTTTAGAATAGTAGAAGCCCTTTAATGGCACATTTAAGACCTGACACCTAGAAGTTCCATATTGAAGTTCTCTCCTATATTGCCTTTACAAAAGGTGTGCTCAAAGCACACCAGTTATATTAAAACTGTGTCTTTCCTCACCTACCCCAAAAAACCACTTTCGAAAACCTTATACCATCATTCTCATGTTCTTTTTCTTCCCTAGTGACACAGACAGCTACTTTAATTTAATCAGTCTAACGAATTGCATCTTTCTTATCCTGATGAAGTGCTCCTACAGCAGAACTTTCCAGTTTCTCTGAAGAATGGGGATTTCACTGTGCAGGCACTCAACTTGAACTGCAAGATCTCCATCACAGAAGCAAACAAATCAGGGCTTGTGACCTCCAGCGCTGGCCATAAAAGCATGACCTCCACAACTGCCTGTGTGCAATTCTGCCTTGGGAAGAAGGGCTCCAGCTCCAGGAGAAAGGCAACCAGCTGGCACCATTCCAGCAGGGAATTTCTGCTGGAATTTGCCCAGCTGCTGCCTGCCAGTTCCATGATGCCTAGCCCCACTGATAACAATGGAAGCATTTCCTTATCTAACATCACTAGTAGAGCTTGTCAGAAAAAGCAAATGCAATACTGAGCTATGGCCTGTGACCAATCCCCCTTCCTTGCCATACCCTCACACTCATCTCTAAGGCTCTGTGCAAAGTTGTACATCTGCTCTGGGCTGCCTTTTTCTCCCAAAATGCAAATGGTATCATTTGACCATCATGCAGCATGGGAGAGTATGGGAAGGCCTCAAAGATAAACCAGGCATAGCAGTATAACTTAGTCCTACACAGAAAAGAAAGAAAGGCACAAAATTCTGTGTTTGGAAGGGCATGAGCCATACATACTTTGAACTTTCAGTGTTCTCCTCCTCCGCTCCCCGTCCTGCAGGGGCTGAATCAGCCACAGGTGCATCATTAGCTCCTGTTCCATTACCAGAGCCATGCACCTGTTCACGTCTGTTCAGTGTAACATTTCTCCTTTCTTGTTCACGCACTGTAATTTAATTTTCAGAAGTTAGATCTGTTATTCTCTCTCTTCCTGAAGCTACCCTTGAAATGAGTTATATAAATAGTCAGCAATGGTTCCTATTTTAAATGGACTCTATTCAGCTGGGTTAAAAACAATCTTAAACAAACTACTTTCCCAAATGATAAGGTTGAACCCTTCCAGACATTGTGACTATTCTGCTACAGACCAACACAAAACATTTGCTCTCTTGCTCTATTAAAGCACTGTCCTTTGCCTTTCACTAAAGGCACCTTCAATCCCTGCTGCTTGAGTTTCTTTAAAAAAAAATATATAATATATATAATGTTTAGGACAATTCCATTACCAATTGTAAAACATCAACTCACCTTCAAGAAACTTCCATCAACATACATGGAAAGGGAGAGAAAAGAAGATACAATTAGATTTGGTGAGCCCCGGGGTGCTGCACACAAACCTCAGCTCAGAAAGCAGTTACAGCAGGGAGGTGAGGCAGGGTAGGCTATCACCCTCTGTGTTTAGCTAGGAACATTCAAAGCAGTAGCACAAAGAGCTGCTGCCCTGGATGACAAAGAAGTGGGTGCTGCTGATTCTCTTCTCACTACTGCAACGGGGTAGAAATAGAGGCAGCTTTGGAACCACCTGAACACCCTCCTCCCTCCCGCCCTATTTCTGTTCCCTAACTGGATTTGGCCTGGAGCTGTTTCTTTCCCTTTTTCTCCCTCAAAATGGAAAATTCAAATGTGATATCCATAAACACTCAGAATAAGGTGAACTGCTGCTGAAGAATGGAAACCACAACAGGCATTGGGAGTAAAGAATTCCAGTTTGCTGCTCTATTGGCACCAGGAAAACTGGACTTGGAATATGTGCAATCTGTCAGTCAATGCTAGAACTACAAGGAACACATAGCTCTGCCAGTGCCAGAGCCCTCTGCCAGAGGGCTTCTCCCTCTATGGCCACCTCCAAGGAGGGGTTTGGAAGGATGGGCAAGTTGGAGCTTCCCAGCAAGGGCTGTGCTTCCAGCCAGCTGCCCGTGGCACCCACCTAAAGCAACTGAGTTGTCCCCTCCCCTCCCACAAAGTAGAAACTATGAGAACATGTGGATTCCCACCTCTGAGTCCTCATCCTCACTAGTTGGAGGACTGGCAGGACCTGCTGGCCGTGCACTAGAGGGAAGAGAGCTAGAAAGAACATACAGCCATTAATTCCACTGTCCATCAAGGGTTATCGATACATAAACTGTAAGTGATTGAAACATCCTCTATTCTGATTTAGCAACATCCCAACTTAGTAACACAATCATTCAAAAAACTTTTATGTACTGCAGTGCAACTCAGGTCATTCTCTAAAAAGCATTCAATATTGTTGAAGAGAGCAGTAAGGTTTCTTCTGGACTTTGGTGTTCGCTTTTCTTAAGTTAGTTTGTTCTCTGCCAGACAGGCCACTATATGCCAAATTAAATTTTTTCACACAGAATCAAGTAGACCCCAAAAGCTTGGGAAAAAAAATGTTTCTACTGTATAGTAAAGATTAGACTTTGAAGAGACATTTTCTATTACGTACTCATCATTATCTCTTGCTTCCTCTTCATTGTTTCCCATCACTAGCATAGCTGAATTATCTTCTGCTCTGACGAAATGTGGCTGGCGCCGCAAATACCACCACTGTTGCATTGGAGTAGAAATGGAGGCAACTTAGAAACCACTTGAACACCCTCTTCCATGCTCCCCCTCTTTCAGTTCCCTAAGTGGACTTGGGCTGGAGGTGTGGGTCCTTACCTCTGAGTAATAATGCATCCAAAATCGAGAAACGTATACACTGTCTGGCCATCTGCTAAAGAGAACAGAACCAGAAGTACACGCAGCATTAACTTCACTGGGCACCAAGTCTGTCAGAAATTGAAACATTCCCTATTCTGATTTAACAACATCCCAACACAACAACACAATCATTCTCATAGCTTTTATGTACTGCAAGTATTTCAGTATATCTCAAGCCTTATTTAAGAAACATTTAACGATGTCTTCATGCACAGAGAAGAATTTTGCTGCTTGGTTTTTTCATTACTTCTCTTTAGCACACTGTATTCCAGGTCTGATGTTTTGACACAGAATCAAGCAGAACCCAAAAGCTTAGTGAAAAATTTGGTTTACCATATATCAGAAATTAAAGAGACAGTTTCTCTCTCCCATACCCTTGATTATCTCTTGGTTCCTCTTCAGTATTCCTTGCAGGTACCTCAGCTGAATTCCCTGCTATGCTGAGAAAGGATGGGAGCTCCTCTTCCTGCAGTGAGATAGAAATGGAGGCACCTAGGAACCACCTCAACACCTTCCTCCTTGCTCCCTTGTTTCAGTTCCCTAATACAATTTGGCCTGAAGCTGTTTCTTTCCCTCATTCTCCCCCAAAAGAGCAAATTCTGCTGTCCAGCTCTAAACACTTCATGCTGGATGAATAAATCAACATGTGGATCCTCACCTCTGAGTCCTCATCCTCCTCAAGTGGACAACTGGCAGGACTTGCTGGCCGTGCACTAGAGAGAACAGAACCAGAAAGAATATGCAGCCATTAATTTCATTGCAAACCAAGAGTTACCAGTACACAAACTCTGTTACTGAAATATTTTTTTATTCTGATTTTGCAATATCCCATCCTAGCAACACAATCATTCCAAGAACTTGTATGTACTGCAAGAATTTCAGCATGTGCGAAGCCATTCTGCTAAATGGCTTTATGAACAGAGGAGAAAGGATTTTGCTGGATTTTGCAGGTTGGGTTTTTCTTCTTTTTTTTTTTTTTTATTACTACTTTTCCAGACCGACCACTTTATTCCAGGTCTGAAATGTTTTGCACAGAATCAAGAAGAACCCAAAATCTTGGCAAAATATTGGTTTTACCATATATCAGAAATCAGAGTTTAGAGAGACACTTTCTCTCTTGCATACCCATCAACATCCCTTGGCTCCTCTTCATCATCCCTTGCCAGCAGATCAGCTGAATTCCCTGCTGCACTGGAAACATGTGGGTGCTGCTGGTTCTGCTCCCTGTCCTGCAATGGAGTAGAAATGGAAACAGATTAGGAACACATTCCTCTCCTGTTCCAGCTCCCTAACTGGATTTGGGCCTAGAGCTGTTTCTTTCCCTTTTCTCCCTCAAAAGGGAAAATTCAAATGTGATATCCATAAACACTCAGTATAAGGTGCTGAAGAATGGAAATCACAACAAGCATTGGGAGTAAAGAATTCCAGTTTGCTGCTCTATTGGCACCAGGAAAACTGGACTTGGAATATGTGCAATTTGCTACTCAATGCTAGAACTACAAGGAACACAGAGATCTGCCAGTGTCAGCCTGGCAAGGGCTTCTCCCTCTATGGACACCACCAAGGAGGGACTTGAGGGATGGGCAAGTTGGAACTTCCCAGCAAGGGCTGTGCTTCCAGCCAGCTGCCCGTGGCACGACATAGAACAACTGAGTTGTGCAGCTCCCCTTTTGTCCCCTTCCCTCCCACAAACCAGAAAGGACAAGAACATGTGGACCCTCACCTCTGAGTCCTCATCTGACCAAAATCGACGATTGAAATCAAATCGTAGCCAATCACTAGAGAGAACAGAAGCAGGAGAACATGCAGTCATTTAAACATGGAGCCATTTATTTCCTGGGCACCAAGAGTTATCATCAAACAAAATGTTGATTTTGATTTAGCAATATCTCAGTCCAGCAAAACAATCATTCCCAGAGCTTTTACATACAGCAAGCATTTCAAGCCATGCTGAAGAAACATTCAGTAATGGCTTCATGCACAGAGAAGAATGGTTTCTACTAGATTTTTTTTTTGCTTTTTTGGTTGGCTTTTTTAAAATTACTTCTGTCAGGCCACTCTATTCCAATTCTGAAGTTTTGGCACAGAATCAAGCAGAACCCAAAAGCTTGGCAAAATCTCCTTCTGCTATGTATCAGAAATTAGATTTTAGAGAGTTAGTTTATCTGTCACATACTCATCACTATCGCTTGGTTCTTCTCCATCATCCATTGCCAGTGACTCAGGTGATGCTCTGAAAAGATGTGGCTGCTGCTGGCTCTGCTCCCTGTCCTGCAGTGGGGTAGAAATGGAGGCACTTAGGAACCACCTGAACAGTCTGCTCCCTGCTCCTCCATTTCAGTTTCCTAATTGCATTTGGGCCTGGAGCTGTTTCTTTCCCTCTCTTACCCCCAAACTGGCAAATGCACTGTGGTATCCAAAAATATTTTGTATTTGATTAAAAGTTGCTGATGAAAGAACCCCAAATCCAAACCCACTCCTGTTTTTGGTGGAACTGGAACTGGGTCATGCAGGTTCTGTTGTAAAGTTTGAGGCTTTCCTTTGCAAAGGCTCAAGAATAATGCTGTCAGGAGGTACCCTTTATGTTATGCCTGCTGCATATTCTGCTCTGCATGGCAGCAGTGACATCCCAAAACTGAGGGAATAAACTACGCTGTGGGCTGGATCAAGGGCTATTCTTTCAAATAGCAGGAAAAATGGAAAGAAAAAAAAAAAGTTACATTTTTAAAGACTCCTTGGAGTAATAAAAATACAACTAGTTTGTACCCCAGTCAGCTGCAGTTGCACTTGACACCTCAGTGATAAGAGCACCTTAAACTGATGTTTCAGTGAAAACACTTCTTATTTGGGAAGTCAAAGACTTCCTGTCCTCTCCGTTGCTTTTTCTTTAAATCACTGAAGCAACAAGCTCTTTTAGATTATTCTTCCACTCTCTGCAAGTAATGCTCAAAGAGATAGATGCCAGAAGACAGGCCCAGGACCTCAAGAGAAACTAATTTGAATGCAAAATTGAGAGGAGTGTGCCAGTCACTACTTACCAAAGGAGACTCATCATCACTGATAGTGATGACTTCAGGCTCAGAAGATTCACCAGTGAGATCAATGATGTCATCTTCACGTGTGAGATCAATGATGTCGTCTTTGCCTGTGAGATCGATAGTGTCATCTTCACGTGTGAGATCAATGATGTCGTCTTCACGTGTGAGATCGATGATGTCATCTTCACGTGTGAGATCAATGATGTTGTCTTTGCCTGTGAGATCGATAGTGTCATCTTCACGTGTGAGATCAATGATGTTGTCTTTGCCTGTGAGATCGATAGTGTCATCTTCACGTGTGAGATCGATGATGTTGTCTTCACGTGTGAGATCGATGATGTCGTCTTCACGTGTGAGATCGATGATGTCATCTTCACGTGTGAGATCGATAGTGTCTTCACGTGTGAGATTGATGCTATCTTCACCTGTGAGATCTATGACTTCTTCAAAAGTTGAAAAGAGAACATTAGAGTCAAGATCAGAGATTGCAGAGGAATGAAATGGTCTGCCACTGTGGAATAGGCTGAGGTTGCATTTACTGTGTTCTAGGTCTCTTTTTATCAGGAATGTGTCCAACATTTCACTCAAGCTTTTCCCTCAACAGTCCACAGGGAGCACTGCCAGCCCTGTCCCTCTGAAGGGGCAAAACAAGAGGAAGAGCAGCTGCGCTCCTCATAACTTCTGTTGGATGACAACAGATTACAGGAGGTTCACATCAACAGATGATTCATTTCATATAGGGGAATGTTTAGTACACAGGGAAAACAAAGCCCCACCAAAACTGTAATCATAGAGGGGATCCTAATTTTAAAGTATCATGCTGTACATGTTCCCCTGAAGGATGGGCCACAGCCAATGACAGTTTTTTCTCATCTTCATCCAGTTTGGGAGATCCCAAACTCAGCTTGCCACCCTACACTGTGGCAGCTGCAGTGACTGCCAGCTCATCAGAACACACATGCAGGTCTTTGAGCAGCACTTGAGGACCTTTGCTACACAGCTCCTCTCACACCAGCAGCCAGTGTATTGAGCTCAGTAACAAACCAAAACAGTTATCAGAAAGCTTGCTCTTTTTAACCCCAGTAAATAGCAACTAAAATAAAACTGGACGTTTCTGGGGTTTTTATTTCCTAAACTGTTAAAAGGATCTAACCGTTCAGATCCTTATTTCAAGTCTCTGAGGTCTTGACATTTTCAGGTGTTCAGCTATTCCCCTGACAGCAGTTCACAACAGGATTGAGGAGTTTTGCTGTGCTCCCAGAAATAGTACCTTCCTCCTAAGGCCCTGCTCTGCTATGAAAGATGAAACAGCAAAAAAAAAGCTGAATTAATAATTGGTTTTCCTTCTAGACATGGTGCCACTGGACCTCTTGACTGGGCTGGGGCTCCTGAGAGCAGCAGGGAATCCATCTTAGCCCTGCCAGATGCAGGGATGTTCCTCGGCACCTGGTCCTATTGGGTGCTCTCTGGTGTGGGAAGAGGCATGGAAATTCATCCAATGCTGAATAAGAGCATTTTCAGCTCATGCTTTACATGAGAAAGATAATTTTTTACAACAAATTTTCAGTTATTACAGTTGTTGCTTTTAGGTAATTTGCAACGTGCTGAGTGTTTAAGAATGGGTGGGGATGACTTTCCCAATATTTTGAGTCTTGTGTCTGGGAATTGAAGCAAAGTCTTGCTCTGGTCATCACATCCACATCATTTCTCATACACTTTATTTATTAATTAATTGCATATTTGGAATTGCTTTAGCATCTTAGCATATGAGGTGTTAAATCTCCTTTAGTATTTTTCTTATCTAATCCTCTGCCCTTTGGACCCAATGTTTTTGGAAAGCAAAAGTGTTTAAACTGAGATGAAGTGGATTTACAGGAGTCTGAGAGATCCCATGTGTTAAAGCAGAGAGCCTGTCCAGTCATGCTCCAGGTGCAGCTGAGGTTATCTGAGTGGACTCAGCACCATGTGTGTTTTGGGGCAGCACTGGATGGATTTTAGCAAAAATGTATCATCATGGGTAAGGGACAGGGGAGCACTGAGGAAGAGGGGCAGATTTTAGTAAGTCAAGCATTTGAAGGCTCTAATCTCCCTCATCCCTGGTGGACAGTGGCAGCAGGGGCTGGGAGACCTTTACTGTAAAGCCCAACACTTTTTAATTAAAGCAGCTATTGAAAATATTCATTGCTCAGTGGTGAGAGGGAGAGAAACTTCCTGCCCCTTCACTGCACATCCCAGGGAAGCTGCAAAGACCATGTTCCTGTTTCATCTCCTCCCATGTGGGTCACCTTTGAAGCAAGGTGCAAGATTTTGAAACACCCAATGCTCTTCCATTTTGGGAAGGAAGAAGTTTGCATATATTAACTTCCAAAAAAAAAAAAATCTAACAGCCTAAACTAAGCCCAGATTGAGCTGGCTTGGTATATTAAACACCTGGAGTTAGAGCATTGGTGTTTTCACATGATTAACTATGGTTTGCCATGAATTTTTAGAGAGAAAAGGAGATTGAGGAGAAGATACCTCAGGGAGTGAGAAAGCCAGGGTTCACTGGGCAGGGGTTGTCAGCTCTGTACTCTCCCAAATCAGGGCTACCCTGAGGATCAGAGCAAGGGCTATGAAGTAATTTAAGAAGGGTGAATATAGTGTGGGATATTGTATACCAAGGCACTGCAGGGTGATCACTGATGACAAGCAAACCTACAATGACATGACAAAACCCATTTTCCACCCCAGCTGGATCAGTGCTGCCTCTCTCCATCTCACCATCTTTAATAACCAAAATTATTTTAATCTGAGGGTAGACAAATAACTGGATTCCACAAGGCAGCAAAGGTCCAGCAACCAGCCCAGCGCTTCAGGCCCATGACCTTGGCCGTGGTTGCCCACAGGAGTCCTGCCCATGGGCAAGTTGGTTTCACTACTGGGCAACCCAAGCAAAAAAGGGCTGTATCGTCCTCAGGGGCTGCCAGGGAGATGTTATTGGTGGGAGGCAGCCAGACACCCAGATTCCCACACAGCTTGGCACCAGGGTAGGTCTGCAATTCCTAGAGCAATCCTGCAGACCAGTCTCTCTAAATCCGCCACAGGGATGCGGTGAAACAGGCAACGATTACCAAAAGATGCCCCAAAAAGATGATAGTCTTGACAAATGACAACTTGTACTGGTCTCACTGAGGATTGCATTTCACTCCTTGTGTCAAAATATGCCTTTGCTTGACTCTAGCAAGGGCTGTGATTTCAGAGTATGTGTCCTTGAAGACTGTTTAAAGTAAAAACATTTTTTACCCTCCCTGACGGTGGGCAGTAGGCGTGGCTTGTTCTGCAGAACAAATATGGCTCTGATTTTCTTCTCTCATTTTTTTCTAATACTCCACAGAGGTTTGAAATTCCTCCACAGAGTCTACACGGTCTTGAAGGCTGAGCAAGATTTGTATCTTGCTCTGAATCTGAGGCAGCACCTATGAGTGTGCTTGCAGGGAAATGTGCATATAGGGCTTTTCAGGCAGTAACAAAACGGAAAATGTTTTTCCATATATAGCTTACGCTGCTTGTTCATACCCCAGACCTAACACTAGGAAAACTCATCTTCATAAACTGCTTTCTTGTGAAGGCAGGTATCATATAGTGTTTTATACAGTGTTAGGCAAAAATTGTCTCTAAGAACTAGGTCACTATGGTAACCACTTCTCATCTCAAAATCAAATAGCTGTTATGGCTGTAATTAAACAATATATTATTTCTACCAATAATTATTCTGAATTATAATTCATTTTATGTCATAAGCTGGAATTATTTTTATTGCCCCCAAAGGCATCAGCATTTGATCTAATTCAGCAGTACAAAACTTCACAGAGAGAGACTATATAGCCTGTCAGAATTCATGGTCAATGACTTCAATCTCTTAAATACGTAGAGACTTGACAAAATATCAGTAATAGTTTTTGGGGAAGGCACAAGATAAACAAGATATCCTGAAACTTGTGTTCCATTGCAGCTAGCCACATGTCCTGAGCCCAGTGGTGCACAAGAGGGCCAGGTTTGCTGCTGTACACAGGGAGTGCAGGCCACAAATTGGGATTTTCCTTTGGTTTAAGCAGAAACTTTATTTTAAAACAAGCAAAAAAAAAAATTGAAAAAAGAAGCAAATCTCTGAGCTTTTCTTCCTTGGGCACTTCTGCCTATCACTTCCGTTCTCAGGATCAAGGACATGCACAGAAACCTTGGCAGACTAGTGGGACACAGTCAACATCATTCACAGGTCAGTCACTGTGACTGCCTTTAAAACAGCAACATAAGTAAAAGCAGCACAATGCTCCACGTGGGCCCAATCAAGCCAGTTGCAAAGCTGGTTTCCAAATAAAGGAGAACAAACCCAGCCTTGTGATTAGGTGAGCTGCACCAGCTCTGATGGAGTTGTCCACAGGTGGCTTCAGGGAGGAGCAAAACCCCCAGTGCTAATATGAACCACTTCCAAGGGAGTAGCAGTAGGGTGGTTTTATTCTTCTTGGCTTGGGGCTGTACTAGCTCAGGAGACTTTTAGCAGGACTTTTTGGTGCTTGCACATGGGAGTTTTTCTGTTTGTTTTTTTTTTTTTTTTTTCTTTGTGGGAGGGAAGGCTGCAGATGGTTTGTTCTCTAGCTAACACACTATAGAGCAAATACACACCTATGTTCTACGTAAATATTAATAGAATTATTTGCCAGAATGTTTCCTTTTTTATTTTTCTCTTTCTAAGAGGGAGGCAAAACAAACATTTATTTTTCTAAAAACCTGTAAATTTTTGAGGCACTCGTTTCTCCATACAGTTGTGAATCCCTGTGGACTCTTGAGTGTTTTCTCCTGGAAGTGATTTTACTGCTCAGTGGCTGCAGTTATTCCAGCAGGAAAGCATGGAAAGCCTTTTGGTGCCTAAAATAAGGAGTTTTCTCTTCCTGGTCTGGATGAGCAGTAATACTAGCTTAATGAACCATGGTCTAATGTTTTTTTTTAATTCTTTTGGAGCTGTTCTGGCCACCCATCCACCCCAATGGCTCTTAGTGGAATAAGATTTATGAATCATCGAGTTGCCTAAAGACTT